TATCTATCTATCTATCTATCTATCTATCTATCTATCTATCTATCTATCTATCTATCTATCTATTTATCTATCTATCTATATCTATATCTCAATCTCCATCTCCCCATCCATCTATATCTATATCTATATCTATATCTATATCTATATCTATATCTATAGCAATAGCAATAGCAATAGCAATAGCAGTAGACTTATATACCGCTTCATAGGCCTTTCAGGCCTCTCTAAGCGGTTTACAGAGAGTCAGCATATTGCCCCCAACAATCTGGGTCCTCATTTTACCCACCTCGGAAGGATGGAAGGCTGAGTCAACCCTGAGCCGGTGAGATTTGAACAGCCGAACTGCAGAACTGCAGTCAGCTGAAGTAGCCTGCAGTGCTGCATTTAACCACTGCGCCACCTTGGCTCCTTTAGAAAGGGAGATGATTTTTAAAATCTTTGTGTTCATTGTTTTATAAGCAGACTATCATGAGAGATAGTCTGCTTATTTTCCTATAATAGTTTAGAGCAGGGGTGTCAAACTGGCAGCCCGCAAGCCAGATGCATCATGCGCAGGCCACGTCCACCCTAGCTCCGTGAATGGGGAATACGTCACGAAACATCATGTGACAGGCAATGCGACATGGCGAGTTTGAGAGCCCTGGTCTAGAGAATGACCTCAAACAAACTGTAATTTATTACCTTGTGGATGGAGTTTATCATAGCTGTTTCCAATTCAACTAACCACTTTTCCACTTGGCCTCGCGCTTTAGCTGTTGATATTGTGTTGATAAGTTCCACAACTTCCCCTTCACTGCTTTTCATGTGGGTAATATCCAGGACTTCGGTAAACTCAACGCTAGCAATTCCTTCAAAACACTTTTTCAAGTGAGGCTTTACTCTGAAGAAATCAAAGAGAGGATTAAGAAATAAACTTGGAGCCATGCAAGTTCAAACTTCTTTCAACAAAACACATTTTATGCCCAGAATGTTGAGATTAATAACGCTATCTGTGTGAGTCAGAGAGTAAATTCTAACCACAGACAGGATGTTTTTTTTATTTAGATATTTCATTCTCAAACAAAACTGACAAAAAACACCCACAGTGTATTAAAAACTACATTTTTGTTTAAAATCCTCTCCAAAGCACATTAACAGGGCAAAACGATCTGCTAAGAAATCATCTTACTAGATTTCCAACAAGGATGTTTAATGCACCAGATATGGTAAGCCACTTCAAATGAACCACAGCAATATATCTTAATGACTAAGTCATAAAAGAAGAGTAGACAAACTTTTGCTGACCTGGAGCATTCTTTTACTTTAACAAATATTTTAGAGCACATGGCCAGAAAACAATGGAATACTTAAGGCTGAAAATATTGGTCTCCTTGCATTTTAGAGAACTTTTAAGGCCGAACCAAATGTATTATTGTGGGGTCCTTGGCGCTTTCTGAGAACAGTTGTTTCCTTGTAGATGTTTTATTACCTTACTACCAGTGCTAGTAAGGAATGGGGCTTATACTTAATTTATGTAGTAATGGCTTGTCCTGTCCATGCTGGTGGGAGTGATCTTGGTGGTCCTGCTCTTACCCAAATGAGCAGAAACACTAATACTAGACTATTAATCAAGATGTAAACAAGAACTCCATCAAGAAACCATCAACTTAGCCAAACAAGCTTATATTAAACAACAGCCTAATCAAGGAACCATCAAGACCTCTCCCACCAACATTGACAGGACAAGCCATTAGTATATAAAATGAGAACAAACTGCCTTCTAGCTTTGATGATGTTACCTAGTTTGGTGATGAAATATCTGCAAGAAAACAACCAACCTCAGAGAGCATCAAGGCACTCATAGTTCAACCCTAGGCTATAAATATTCTTTTCAAATGTATTATACCTAACAGAGAAGGACAATGAATTGTCAAACTTAGAAATGGGTTTAAATGGCAAAAACTAAAGTAAAATATTGTAATAGAAGACCCCAAAGAAGATTGAAATACTCAAGATGGGAGATGATTCAAGTTTGGACCAGAATTGTTGAGAATGAGATTAAGTTCACATGTTTGCAGCATTACACACACGGAAAAAAACCAACATGGCCTCTTGCCTACAAATTCATTATGAGGAGTATGTTGATGGAAGCAAAGTTTTTGTATCTGAATGATAATCACATACGTATGTAAACATCAGTTTGGGCGAAGGATATCTGATAAAGCCGAATGTCCATTATATCTGAATTTACCTAACACACATATACTTTATTTATATAATTTATGTCTAATTTGCATAGACTGCACCAAATAAATTAATGTATTTCTATACCTACTGGATATTAGCCTTTAATCATTATGTAAACTATGTATAACAGGAATTACAACTATCCTAAATATGCATCAAATAGTACAATACCTTGTAGGATCTTTAGTCTCTGAGAGAATCTCAAGGAGTTCATCATTGGATAGGAAGAAGAATCTAGGGAAGAACAGACGTTTCTTTTCTAGATACTCATTTAGTCCCTTCAGAATTAATTCTAATAGCTCATTGCATTTCTTCAGTCGTTCCAGCATCTTTTCTATCATCACTACTGTAAGAACATGTTTGTCCTGAGAAAGACACATATCATATAATATACCATTCATATCATACCATGCATCTTATCGTCATTATCTCAATTTAAAAACCGAGCAATGCTTTTAAGTATTTTCTCTAAAACATTAAAACTAAAATGAGTTGGCTCAATTTTCTCCCATTGCCCAGGATACTTACATAACTGTCTGGAAGTTTTCTAAGGTATTTTCTTGTGGTGTATTAAACCCCTTTGGGAAACAGCGAGGTAGACTCTGCGACTGATTTGGCCAATTCTATTTTTCAATTTCTATGCTTTTTCTAAATATATTACATTTCCTTCCTTCCTTCCTTCCTTCC